GTCAAACTTGAATCATGTTCTTAAGTGCCACCCAAGTCAATTACCTAACGGGGACCAAGCAGTAAGTTCTGAGTAAGAACAAAATAAAGCGGAGTATGGCTGCTGGGATTTGATCTCGTTAGTATCCACGCTATGATGGAGTGGCTCTGTTTATCTCTCACATATTGCCCAACCTGCTGAGGAGCTAAATAATAATATTTTCCTGCTGGTTTTCACGGAAGCAGTTCAAACTCATATAGAGGCTGACATTTGGTCAAGTATCCTAGATGCCCACAACAGGATCAAGCAAAAGTTCAGAGAGCAACAGATGCTTTACAGTGTAATATTTACCCTTCTGAAAAGAGTTCCCTGCTTTTTCTCAAAAGAGCAAAATGTTGTGCAATGAAGCAGGAGCCATTCAGTATGCTGAACTTTCTAAGGGCTGTGTTTGAGATTTTACGGAACACAAGAAGTACTTTTATCTCCTTCAAAAATAAAAATCCAAGGGTCTGATTCACTTATACCAGGGCAAATAAGAGGAACTCCAGTGAAGTCAGTGAAGCTACACTTGTGTAAAATGAATGTAAGTGAAAGGAAGATCAGGACCCAAAATCCTTAGTGGAAATTTTTCCCATAAAGATGTATAATGGTTTAGAAAGATAGAGGAAAAAACATTACGTAATTAAAGACGGTGTCATAATGTATATGCACGAGGGGGCCAAATTAAGGTTGCACAGGCAACCTTAATTCTGGCATTCCCTAGCTTTTGAGTGCTTGACTTTGCAACAACACGGCTGCTACTCTGAAACCTTAATAGTGTTATTTTAAAGTAGGTTGTTGTCATTGTGGTGTGTGCATGAAACCTAGATCTATAATGAGTGGGAGGAACTCTTATGGTTCTACATGAAACCACCTCTTTTAGGAGTGGGGCTCCCTGTTCCTTACACTCTTCCCACTCTATCGTAATAAAATACAAATATTTAAAAGCAAAAATCATCCAAGGCGTATTGAGGTTCAAACAGCACCAGTCATGGCCTGTTGGCTACTGCTATGCTAGGACTAGGAAATGTCAAAATCAAGTGAGAAACTTTACACCTCAAAACAAGAGTGATGGCCAGAATATTCAGAAGAGACTAGTGATTTAGGATGTCTCCATTTATGGGTGCCCAAATTGAGATAGCTTAAAGAGGCTTTATTTTGGGTGCTGAGCACTTGCTGAAAATCAAGTCAATTGAAGGGGTTTCCAGTTGTGCACACAACTGAACAACCCAAATCACTAGCCATCTTGGAAAATCTTGACCAATGCTTCCACATGCCAGGTGATCTTATGATCATATCTCTACCTGTCTGTCTGATTTGGAGCCCTATAAAGTAGCATCCACTCCTGGCACATTTTTGCAACCCTTCTTAGCATGATTGCTGCCTCTGTCCTTCCCAGGTGCTATTGATTCTTCAGTATTTTCAGAACTAACTAAACACAGGCTTCATAATAAAATGGGGGATGGGGGCTCCTTCTTTTCAAGATGTGCTTCTGTGTTAAACAGTTTCCTCTTCATTACTTCTCCAGTTTTGGAAATCGAGCCATTCAGCGATCAATATTCTTCTCTTTTGCTAAAGCGTGGCAGTTTGCAGCTTTACGACAGGGTTCCTCAGGTGATAAAATGAAAATGCCTCGGGGTCTTGGTATTAGTGCCCCTGTTTCCAACAAGTCAGGGCACAAATGAACTAATGCAGAGGGTGCCCAGAGCCAGCCTAGAGGGGACACACAGTCCTCAGCGATCCATAAGGTTGTCTCTGGTCACTCTTGGGCAGGATTCTCCTTTCATGGGTCTCTCCACTGAAACCAATGGCACTTCACCAGCATAAGTCAGACCTGGCCCTGATTTTTCCGACCGAGCACTGACTGTCAGGTCCTTTCCATTTTGGCTTTAAGTCGCAGCATGGGTGTGCACGGTTGATGTGCTCCAGCATGGTTGTGAGTAAAAGCTAAGGGTGGGTAGAAATAAGGCTGAACACAAGTCTTAGCCTCCACACTGAATGCAAATGTAAGACTCAGGCGCACTCCCTTACACAGACATGCGCGAAGGGTACTAAGGGGGCAATGTGTGGATGGAAAATGGACATGCCTGGAGAACTGTGGGCTTAGCATCCTCCTCAGCACTAACAAAATGCTTCGTTACACACTCATTCCAAACCTTACTCTTCCTACTAGGCAGGTGTAACTTGGCAAGTGCATCTCAGCGTCTCAATAAGTCCCTGATTCAGTAGTCAACCCCTATTGAGCAAAGTCCTTAAGCATGGACTGGTTCTTAAGCATCTACTTACAGTTAAGCATGTGCTTTGGTGAATAAGGATGCACTTGCCTAAAATGCTTTACTGAATTGCGGGCTGTGACTGGGTGTAGCAGACATTTGCTGCCCATTGCCAGAGGCCCCACCACTGCCTTGACACACCCTGCCCTAAGAAGGTGTCCTTCTGGAAGGAAAGACCAGCAAGGACAGACCTCCAGGGGTTGCCTAGAGAGGCTTCCCTTTCCCATAATCAGCTGCAGGCAAAATCAGCGAGAGTTGGTCCTCTGGAAGCTAGAAGAGCCAGGAGCAGGTGGAAGCCAATCAGAGCCCAGCAGGTCAGACTAGTTGTTTCTCTTAGGGGTCAGTTCTGGGTAAAGCCAGGGCATGGAAGGAAGCCTCTCCTAGCCCTAATCCAAGTATTGTGGCCCAGTTAGGGGCATAACCTTGACAACATTGGCCTTGGACGTCTGTGATGGACAACTGTTTGTTCTATGAACTTTAAAGCCTAGGGCTATTTTGAGTTCAGATTTAATTTGCCTTCTGTTAACGCTGGAAAGGGACTGGACTGAGCGTTGACCTGGCTGAAGGGTGAGGCCACAGAAACAGTGGACCATTGTGGAAGTAGGATGTGAGGGGGGCACGAGAGAGGAAGAACCCCTGCAATGCTGCGTCCTGACACAAAGGGATATGCTGGTGGTGAGTATCTGTGATAACAGGGGCCTAATACAGAATCAGGGCCACCTGTAGGTAGCACTTTTCTTTTCACTTACACACAGTGCGTATACACACAGCACTCCATGACTAACAGGAATGAGGATAATGCTTTTATTTGCTTCCCAAAGGCTACATTTAAGGGGCTTGAGACTTAACTTTCATTACAGAGGGCTACACCGAGCACTTAACTTTACTTGCACCTGTGCTAAACCTCCTCTCGCTTGCGCTGGAGTTTGTCTGCAGGTTCGAGACTTTAAATACGAGGGTGGTAGCATTTGCTTCATTTTATGGAAATGTGATGGGCTCCCTATTTATCTGTTGTCTCTGTCTAGGTATGTGTATTGCCCTCATCATCTCCCAACAAGATGGCAATATAAATGGGGAGAATCCAGACACTGCCTGAAAGAGCAAATCTAGATCTGGTCACAAAAGTGCTGACATACCAGAAGGACATAAACATTTTAGTCTTTGCACTGATGGTGACAGATGTCAAGCCAGCCAGCCAGGGTACAAAATATACTGCAGCAAACAATCCCACATTGGCTGAGGGATGGCCTAGAGGAATTAGCAGATCGTTTCTGCCTCTACTTCTAATGATTCTGTGATTAAGTAACCAAAGTCCCTTTGCCCCGACCTCGGCACCCTCAGGAAAGTGGGTGATGAGTTCATCTGCAGAGCTCTCAATAAGCCCCCCCGTGATGCATTTGATGAAAATAAATATGAACATGGGGATGCAATTATGGGTTTGGAAGCCTTGAACTGCAGTGGTTTTTATTTAGTTTTCCTGACAGCTGGCATCTCTGGCAGGACCTCAAAACCTCCAGTGGGAACCCAGGGCTCTGTCAAGAGATGACCATATGAAAGAGGGAGGTTAAAAAAAATAACAATGCTGGTGATTGATTTAGTTGGGGATTGGTCCTGCTTTGAGCAGGGGGTTGGACTAGATGACCTCCTGAGGTCCCTTCCAACCCTGAGATTCTATTATGAGAATTCTCAAACATCTCATTGAAAGGCAAAGGAGGGGAAATACCTCCAGATCAAAGTGACTTTGCTGGGTTGTGGTTTTGTGTTAGCTCCCTCATTATTCTCTTGGAGCGAAATTCACCCCTCTGTGGAGAGGTAGCATATGGTCTCTGTAGCATTTAAGTCCCTGCAGGGTTTAAGGGGGATTTAAATGATGCTTCGGGTTTGAGCTGTCTTTCTGCACAAGGGTGAGGCACGGACAGGGAGTTCGCTGTTAGGAGATGACCTTGGGCATGTTACCTATGTGTGCCCCATTAAAAGCAACACCCAAACCCTGGGTCAAAGCGAAAGCGGAAATCAGGCAACCTCCCTTCCAAAGGAGGGCGCGCAGGCCTGGCCGTGCAGAACCACAAGCTTGGCCAACAGGCTGCCCCACCGTTGCCCTCCTCCAGAGAGCTGCCCACTCACACCAGGTGCTCTCCCTCGCTTTAACCCCTCCCGCAGCCGCTGCGCCATGGCCTGGGGCTCCCCCTGACCTTTGACCCAGAGAGGATTCCTGCCACAAACACCCCCCTGCCTTGCCAAACTTCTTCCTCCTCCTCCTCCTCCTCCTCTCCTCCTGCTCTTTAGCCGCCCCCCCTGCAGCACGTGGCCCCACCCTCTGCCTTTAAAATCCCCCTCCCGCAATGGGCCCCCGCCCCTTTAAATCCTCTGTGCACCATGAGGTCGCTTCCCGCCCCGTGCGGCGCCTGCCCGTCCACCCACCCCACGTGCCGCGACAGACCGGCAGCCCCCCCTTCGAATCCCGCCACGTGCTCCCGCGCCCACGTGCGCCGCTCCCGCCTCGCCCTTTAAATCGCCCCTCCCGCCCTCCCCGCGTGACGGCGGCGCCGCCCTCCCATTGGCCGGCCTCGCGGCGCCGGCTTCCCTCGCCTCCGCGGTGACGTTGACCGCCCCGCCCCCTCTCCCCCCCGACTGGGCCCCGCCCCCGGTGACGTCAGGCGGCGGAGGCTCGGGGAATGACATCACCTGTGAGAGTGGCTGGAGCCCGGGAGGGAGCTGGAGCCGCAGTGTCCCCCGCGCGCCCCCTCCTCCGCGCAGCATCCGCAGCCGGGAGCCGAGCGGGTCCGGGGGAGGAGGGGGCTGCCCGGGATTAATGCGCCTCCTCCGGCCGGACGGCGGGCGAGGATGTGAGCGGGCAGCCCAGCCGCCAGGTAAGGGGTGGGGGGCGCGATGGAGCCCGGGGGGTGTGGACAGGTTGCACGGGAGCAGCGGGAGTTGCAATGGAGCTTGGGGGGTGTGGGGCAGGCTGGGTTGGAGCAGGAGGAGGGTTGCTGTGGGGGGGGTTGCAATGGAGCTTTAGGGATGTGGGGACCTTGGATGGGAGCAGCAGGGGGATTGCAATGGAGCAGGGGGGTTACATGGGGGGCAGATTGGGGTGTAGGGAGGTTGCAGTGGAGCAGGAGGAGGGTTGCAATGGAGCTTGGGGGGTGTGGGGCAGGCTGGGTTGGAGTAGGAGGATTGCTGGGGGGGGGTTGCAATGGAGCTTTAGGGATGTGGGGAGCTTGCATTGGAGCAGCAGCGGGATTGCAATGAAGCGGGGGGGGTTGCATGTGGGGCAGACTGGGGTGTGGGGAGGTTGCAGTGGAGCAGGAGGGGGGTTGCATGGGGGGCAGACTGGGGTGTGGGGAGGTTGCAGTGGAGCAGGAGGGGGTTGCATGGGGGGCAGATTGCAATGGAGCCCTAAGGGTGTGGGCTAGGGTGCAATGGAGCAGGAGG